GGCAGGGGGGTGGGTCACGCATCTCGACGTCGGAGGGAGCGCGGCGCACTATTTCTTCAACCCCACCAAGCACGAGCACGCGCAGGAGATGGTGGAGAGGGGGGGGGCCTTCAGATGCGCAGCACTAGAAGACGACGGCGAGCAATGCAGCGATAGTTTTTTTTCAGCGAAAATCAGTTGGCGGCGCGCTACTTGATGAGAAAAGGAGGGGCCCACGGAAAGCAGTTACTCGGTAGATTGTGCTGTGTGTCCAGACAGTGTGTTATATGTTGTTCGAATTTCTCGTCGATCGATTACGCGAAGCGGCACGTGCATCAGGGCTTACTAAAGGGTAAATGTATATGTGTTCAGGGCCGCACAGATGGTAAAGTATTTCTACCCCGAACATTCGAATGTCCTGCCTGCGACTGCACTGCGAGCGACAATGGCGACCTCCGTGGACGTCATGGCTGAACACTTCCAGCAGCATCTTCACACGCACGTTCTCGAGATCGAAGTTCCTGGGCTCGAGGAGAGCATCATATTCTATCGTCAAGAAGACGCCAGACTGGCTCATGGCCAGCACGCTGGGCAAGCGAGCAGCACAGGAAGGACAGCCCAGCGAGGGGTCCAGGGCCAAGTCGGCCAAGGGAGAGGGCAAGGGAGAGGAGTCGCACGCCAACGCCAGACTGCTTCGACAGCTAGAATCCAGTGTCCGCACGCTGGAGTTCGGAGCGGGCCTCACGGTGCACGGGCCCAGCGATGCGGAGATAGTGGCTGTCCTCAAGGGCACGTGCGCGGAGTGCCAGAAGAAGACGGAGGAATTGCAAGGCGGGGACGCACGGTCTCGGGCCTCCAGAGTTGCAGAGTGTTGCCGCGCTTCTGAGCGCTTTCAACGTCTGGCTCGAGAAGCAGGGCGAAGCGCCGGACTCGGTCAAGAACCTCGCAGATGTGCCCAATCGGCTCCTCCTGACGATGCAGAAGAGCGACATGTCCACGGCGTCGACCTGGGTCAAGGAGTGCAGCACCAGCAACACTCAGGACCCGGCCATCTCGAGGATCACGGTCAAGGTGGTCGGCTCTACCATATTGCCCGACCCCCGCGCTCAGGGACCGAACCTGCTCGAGGAGCACGAGACCTTCTGGAAGACAATCGATGACCAGGCCGCAGAGCCCGACGAGAAGGCAGTCGCGGCGGGGCGGGTGATCAGGTCGCCTCTAGATATCGAGCTAAAGGGAGTAGGAAAGGTAGCAACAGTTGAGCAGGTGATTTATCAGCTTCCCAGGGCTGTAGGCTTCAACAATAAGCCAGGCCGAGCCCCGAGAGGCAAGCTAGTTAGGCAGATCAAGATTGAGAAGTAGATAGTGTCGGTTGGGGGACTGGGGGGGGTCTGCGCGCCCAGGATGGGGGAGTGGCCTCTGAGTCCCTCCGTCCTGAGGTTGCAGGCCGCCCCCAATGTCGGTCCAACTGCTCTAGATTCCAAGGCCCGCCCCGTGTGGGGTGTCCCCGCGGCTCGGCGGGACACCGATCCACCGCTTTTGGGGGTTTTCCTCTTCAGAATTGTGGCCCCCCCCCAATGTGGAGGTCTCAGGCTAAACAGTCCTGGCCCAGAGCAGCAGTGGTGTAGCGAACCCGAAGTTGAGCTCGAATGGGAAGGAACGGAACGGAACTCCCCCTCCTCCTCCTTCTCCTCCCCCACCTCCTCCTTCTCCCCCTCCTCCTCCTCCTCCGCCCCTTCTCGGCCCCGAGGTTCGAAGTTGTCAGACGTTCTCGTCGGGTCTCGCTGCTTTCGTGCCTCGGCACGAGCTCCAGCAGCCGCGCCCCGCCCCGCGCGCTCCTGGGGTGCCAAGGGTCGTCTTTATATCTCGGCCGCCAGAGGCCGCCCGACTGGTGGCCCGCAGGCCAGCGGCGGGAGACAGCCGGCGACTCGGCAAGAGTGTCCCTTCGCCGCAGCAGCCCGCGGTTCGCGGCTTTCGGGGTGCATAGAGGAGGAGGAGGAGGATGAGGAGGAGGAGGAGGAGGAGGAGGAGGAGGAGGAGGAGGAGGTTAGGAGGAGGAGGGGAGGAGGAGGAGGCAGGGGGAGGAGGAGGAGGAGGAGGAGGGGGAGGAGGAGGAGGAGGTGGGAGGAGGAGGAGGAGGGGTGCAGAGGAGAGAGGAGGCAGGAGGAGAGGAGGAGGGGGAGGAGGAGGAGGAGGGGGAGGAGGAGGAGGAGGAGGAGGAGAGGAGGAGGGATGAGGAGGAGGAGGAGCGAGGAGGAGGAAGGACGATCGTCAACGCGGTGGGGGGGACCTCGCCCAAGCATGAAGGCCTCTCTACTGTCGCGCTGCGTGCAAGGATCGGCGACGGGCGACCTCCGCGCAGGAAGGAACTCCTGCGAGGGCCAGCACTCGACCTGAGCAAGAGCGAGTGTGGCGCTCTTCTTCGCCCTCCTTCCTCCTCGTAGTAGTCCTCGTCCTCGTTCCCCCCTCTCCTCTCCCTCCCCTCACTCCTCCTCCTCCTCCCATCTGACCTCCTCCTCCTCCTCCTCCTCCTCCTGCTCCTCCAACTCCAACTCCTTCACCTCCTCTATACACGGATCTCGGGCTCAGGATGGGCTGGATCAGGATCGGTGTCCGTGTATAGTTGTCGTCTTCCTGTGGCTGCCCGCACAGCTTGCGACGGTCTGCTCGGCCTGGGTGCGCGCCTCTTTCCCCACATCCCTGCGCGGCCTCCTTTCTCCCGCTTCTGCGCAGTTTGCGCTCTCGCAGCCCAGCTTCCACTTCGACCGGGCTGAGCGACCGCCAGTGCTGTGACCAAGAGATTGTCCTCTGCCGCCAACGTTCTTCGGTTGACGCTGCTTAGCCGTTGCGCTGGTGTGCCGCCGCAGTGTTGGGATCCTGGGCCTCGAGACAGACGCTGTTTGTTTGTGTCTTGTTATGCAGGTTTTGTTGTCTTGTGGTATTGGGTCCTCGTTTTGAAGAGACAGCTTCTTGCGTCACCCATTCCTCCTTCCTCCTTTCCCCTTTTTCTTTTCCCTCCTCCCATCATTGCCTCTGCCCTCCGCATGCCTCTGTTTCGACACACCCTCACACGTTTCGCGGCTCCCCATCCCTGCGTCTTCCTTCCGCTTTCGGCACACCGCCTCACACGTTTCGTGGCCTCATCGGGAAGTCCACCGAAGGCTTCTATGGCAGGGTTCGCACGGCAGCGCCGCCCCATCTTGGCAAACACCTCACACGATTCGCGGCCCCATCGGGGGCTCCAACGAACGCCACAGTGGCAGGGTTCGCATGGCGGCGTCGCCCCATTGGCACCCCTCACACGGTTCGTGGCCCCCCACCGATGGCACCAATGGCAGGGTTCGCGTGTCGGCGCCGCCCCACCATGTCGGCACGCCCATCACACTGTTCGTGGCCCCGCAAGGAGCTCCACCGAAGGCCTCGGTGGCATTCCGTAGGCATGTTGGCTCAAGGTCATGCTTGCCCAGGTAAGCGACGGATACCGCGAGTCCGCGGCTCGCCCTCAATCTTCTTGTGGGTGCGTCAAGCACGCTCCTCGCGTTCTGGTTGTACTGATAGTTCTCGTCTTGTGAGTCCGCTATGGCAAAGTATTGGAAGTGCAGTTGCGGGGAGTTTACTACCAAGGGCCGTTGGATATGTGGATATCGGCGGGGTGACGCGCGAGCCTCGTAAACCCTGGAGCGCAGGCTCGCCGACTGGCGCCGCGTTCTGGGCCGGCGGCAAAAAGTGGGCGAACAACAATCAGTGGAATGAGGAGCAGCGGGCGCTGTTGTCACGGTCGGGAAGCAGCGGTCCGGAACCTCTTTTGGGTGCCGTGCTCAGTTCCAGCTAGGTCCAGGCGTGGGCGGAGCTCCCCAGCGAAACATTCGAGAATACCAAGGATGCCCTGTCCAACTTTTCTCGGGCCAGGGTGGAGATCTCTCGGCGCGCTGCCGCTGCTGGTGTACTGGGCGCTGCTGGGCGCGAAGCTCTTCAGGCTGCTGACAAGACGACTCGCTCCTGTGAGACCGCGACGGACCGTTCGACGAGCAGTACGGAGAAGGCTTTCAAGTCGCCCGCGGCGGTGGCGGACTCCGGCATTGAAGCCGCGAGGCTGGAGAAGGAGCTGGAGCATGCGAAGCAGGGGGCCGCCGAGCTCTACGGCGCCGCTGCGGGCGACGCGCGCGTCGAGCAGTTCGAGACCGGGCTCGCAGCGATCCCCGCCGAGAACGCCTCGCTGGCCGATTCTAATGGCCTCCGAGCAGCCCGCCGTCGCGCCAGGCGCAGATGGAGGTGCAAGGGGGGCGGTTCACGCAGCAGCGGAGGTGCCAGTGCCAGAGGAGGACGACGAAGCTGCCGCGCTTGACGTTTCTTGGGCTCGGCTGACAAATCCTGGCGGCCAGCTTGGCGCTCGCGAGAGTGCCGCGGCTGAGCGCGGGCGCGGCGCCGACGCCCTCGGGGCCCCGCGCGGCCGCGCGGCCCGAGACAGGCGGAGTTTTAGCTCGAGGAGGCGCGAGGGTGAGCGCGCGCAGCAGATTCGAGGCGCCGCTGCAGTACAGCGCGGCGCGCAGCAGTGATGGTTGCAGTTCAGGAGACACGCCGCGCACCGACCAGGTGCGATGAGGTCACCGACGAGTTGGCGATGCAGGGGGGCCGCGCGCTGGCACGCCTCGCAGTGGAGTCGGGCCTGGGGTCCATGGCCGCGGAGGGCTACTCCAGCTGGCGCCTTGTGCGCATGGGCTCGGAGCTGTCGAGGTCAGCGGCGGGTTTGAGATGTCCCCTGGGCTCGCCACCGTGCCCCGAGTCGCGGGGCGGGGGTCGTGGCGCGCGCCCAGTTCAACGCGTGCCCGAAGGTCAGCGAGGGCCTCCCGGACTTCAATTGCAATGTGCTGCAGGCGGTCTTCGCCGCGGCTTCGCAGATCGGCGAGCCCGTCGTCGCGGGGTGGACTTCAACCCGGCGCCCTCCGAGCTAGCGCAGTCGGGCTCCCTGGGCGCCCGCAACTTGAAGGTCGTTGCCCCGGGCGGGGGCGTGCGTCGCCCAGGTGGGTTGATCCCGGACGTGTGGGTTGTCAGCGTCGTCTCCTGCGAGGCGAAGGCGCAGGTGGTCTGCGGCTGGCGCCTCGCCCCCCGCTGCCCGGTCGAGCTGGATATCGACGGGTGCTCGGTGGAGAGGCAGATGCAGGTCGTGGAGTGCCCAGGGTGGCCGCCGCGCCCGCCCCCTCAGGCGCGCTGTTCCATGGGCCGCGTCGTCGAGTGGGCGCGGCAGGCGATGCAGGCCGCAGCGTCGATCGCCAGCATGTGGCAGGTCTTCATCCACCTGGCGGGGTGGAGCGCCCCCGATGCCGAGGGACCTGCGCGCGACTGCGGCAGGCGCGCGGGCTGACGAAACAGGCCGAAGCTCAACGTGGCCAAGATCGGGGCCCCCGGCCCGCCAAGGACCCCGATGCGCAATGAGCTCGCCATGTGGCGCGGGGGCGCGGCCATCGCGATGAAGGGGCGCGCGCAGGCTGACTGCCCGCGGCGCGGGGCGAGGGCCGCCGACGCGACGGACAAGCTGCGCGGCATGCAGTCCCGCGATGGGGTCGGAGCGGCCAGGGCTCCAGGGACATCTTTGAGGCGCTGGCCGCCGCGATGCTTATCCTCGACATGGGCGCCCTCCACGGCGTCGGTCTCCTCGCGGCCGGCGTGGCGGGCCGCGCGGTTCGGCGGGGGTGGGCGACAGCAGGAGGAGCTGCGGCGACTGGGCCATCGGGCGCCGCACCAGAGGTTCGGGGGCCCCCTGCGCCCTGACCAGACCTCCGCGATGCTGGGCGCCTGGGCCCGATGGCTTGGCCCAGGACGGCCAACTCTGACCGGCCAGGAGATTGTCGAAGCCTCAGTGATGAAATGGTCTTGAGGGCAGTGAGATCATCGGCAGCTCTAGGGAGGCCACATTTTCGTCCTTCGACTCCCTCGGGCCGCGCGAGCTGCAGCAGCCGCGCGACAAGGGCATCGAGGCGCTCGTCGACTTCCTCGTTAGCATCGGCGAATGGCTTGGTTTCGTCGTGAAGACGGCCTTCGTCCCGAAGTCCTACGGTGGGCTACAGCCGAACGCGCTCCAAGGGGCGCTGGCGCACTTTGGCGGGCGGTTCCGTCGCCCGTGAGCGAAGTAATGGGAGGCCGTCCACGACCGACCGCGCTGGCGGGCCAGCGCTGTCAAGAGCTGCGACGGAGCCGCGTGGCAGCGGCAGGCGCGAGCAGAGTGGGTTCAGGTGGTGGTGACGGTCCACTAGAACCAGGATAGGGCGCCCGCCTCGACCCTGCTCGACCTTCGGAAGGCCGTCGATCAGATTTTCCGCGGCCGGCCCCAAGCCGCCGGAACGACCGAGGTCCCCAGCGGGTCGACGCGGTTCGATTCGTGGGCCCGCGGGAAGCTCCACCGAAGGTTCCAGCGGCAGGGTTCGGATGGCGGCGCCGTCCCAATCGGGCGCGCCTCTCGCGCGGTTCGCGGCCCCGTGCAGAGGGCCCCAGTGGCAGGGCTCGCATGTGAGGGCTGCGCGACCATAGGGGGGCCCCGCCGAATGCCCCAGCGACAGGGTTCACACGGCGGCGCCGCCCCACTGTGGCGCACCCCTCGCGCGGAGTGTGGCCCCCATGGGGAGCTCCACCGAAGACGACTCATTACGGCGGTGCTCACACTTTGCACATTGTTATGTCCTTCGCTATGATGTCCTTTCGCCGAGGCCCTGGACGGCGGCAGAGGTTGCTGCGTGCCCAGGGACGTCCATTGAGGCCCCTCTTGGCGTCGGAACGCCCGATATCTACACTCCTGAGCGGCCTGCGGGCCGCGGGCGCTACGAGGCCGGAGAGCCCTGGGGCTCCCAAGGACATCGGAAGTGGGGGGGCCCAGGGACGTGGAGTCCACGCGTTTGTTCCGGGCAATGTTCCGGACAACGTTCCGGACAACGTTCCGGGCAGATTCGTTCCGGACGCGGTTCGTGGTTAACGCAGGTCTTCGGGCGCCCCGTCGAATCGGAAGGCGCCAACTACGGCGGCGCCGATCCTGGCCAGGTCGACCGTGGGCCCAGGAATCGGTGCGCAGGCCTTCTCGGCCAAGCCGGGGAGCGCAGTCGCCCCAGAAACCGAAACTGTGGCTCCTCCTCCTCCTCCTCCTCCTCCTCTTCCTCCTCCTCCCCTCTTCTTCCTCCTCCATGCGTCAGTCTTGAAGGCGTCGCGACGTCGGAGGTCTGGGCACGCCCGTGCAGTGATGCTCGAGGTCGACCCCAGGGCTCATCCCGGAGCGAGTCCCGACAAGTTTCTCCATCTGTGCCCAGCCGTTGCCAAGTGGCGCTTGGGGAAACGAGAAAACGCTTTCGTCGTCGTCGTCCTCGTCTCCGTTGTCGTCGTCGTCGTCGCCGTCGTCGTCGTCGTCGTCGTCGTCGTCGCCGTTGTTGCCGCCGTCGCCGCCGTCGTCGAGGCGCCATTGGGGGTCCGGGAGGTCGGCCTCCGGTGTCGTGGCCGTTTTTCGTCGTCGAGAGCGTCGTCGTCATCGTTGTCGTATTCGTCGTTGTCGTCGTCGTCGTCGCTGCTGTCGTCGCTGCTGTCGTCGTCGTCCCTCCTCTCCCCTCCCTCCTCCAGTTGTCGTCCTTCGTCTCGAAGATCGCCCAGCCAGGGTCTTGCCGATGGGCATCTGGAGGCGGCTTCGGCCAGGGCGGCGGGGAGCCTCCGAAAAGCTTTGACAGACCTCCTTCAACCCGTCTCGTTCCTCCCTCCCTTCCTCCCTCTACCTCTTCCTCTTCCTCCTCCTCCTCCTCCTCCTCCTCCTCCTCCTCCTCCTACTCCTACTCCTACTCCTTCTCCTCCACCTCTTCCTCCTCTTCGTCCTTCTCTTTCTCCTCCTCCTACTCCTCCACCCTCTCCTCCTCCTCCTCCTCCTTCTCCTCCTCGTTTCTCCTCTTGCGCGCCCTCCTTCTCCTTCGCCTACTCCTCGTTAGTTCCCGCTATTTCTTCTTCCCCACCACCTAATCTCACCTCCTCTTCCACCTCCTATCCTCCTCCTCCTCCCTCCCCCCTCCTCCCTCCTCCCTCCCCCCTTCGTTATTTCTCCCTCCTCCCTCCTCACTTCTCCCTCCTCCCTTCTCACTGATCCCTCCTCCATCTTCCCTCCTCCGCCAGGGTGGCCTGGGTGGTTTTTGACCGCCGGGCAGGGCGGGATACAATACTGCCCTAGCTGGTCTCTGAGCTTAAAGCTCCATCCTTGCGGCCCCCCCGAGGAGCCCAAGACGACGCTGCGGGCACGACGCTTCCTCTTGTCGAGCCGATCGTCTCCTTCCCCCCCTTTTCCTTCCCTCTTCCCTCTTCCCTCCGTCCTTCATCGTTCTCCGTCCTCCTTCGCCCTCCCTCCTGCCTCCTCCCTCCGTCCTTCTTCGTCCTCCTCCCCTCCTCCTTCGTCCTTCCTCGTCCTACTTCTTCGTCCTCCCTCTTCCGTTCCTCCTCGTCCTCCCTCGTCGTGCTCCTCCTTCCTCGTCCCCGCCTCCTGCGCCGCGGCCCCGAGGGCGGCGGCGGCCGGCGGGGCCCAGGCCCGAGGGTGACCGACCTGAGGTCGCCAGCGCTCGGGCTTGCCCAGGTCCCCGGGGGCGGGATGATGAGCCTGTTTTCCACCACCACCACCACCACAAGTTGGAAGGGGGAAGGAGGAGGAGGAGGAGGAGGAGGAGGAGGAGGAGGAGGCCCTCCCCGGGGGCGGGGATGATGAGCCTGTTTTCCACCACCACCACCACCACAA